TTGCACCTGTGTGAGGTGAAGGTGGAGAGAGCAGAAATGACCGCCAGGTGTGAGTAGTCCCGTCCTACCTCCAGTTTTCAGTTAGCTTCTGGCGCTGCAGGGTTGTTAGCAGGGCGGGGAGCGGCGCTGTGACCTGGCCCTGCGGACCGCGAGGGTCTCGGGGGAGAGAGATCCACGAGGGCCCCTCAGGCGTGCCTCCTCTTGCTCTCCTAGGGTGTGTTTATTAGCACTGATTAACCCCCTTCTTCGGTCAGTCCCCCCGTGTTTATTCGCTCTTCCCAAAACGTTCTCGGTCCCTGGAGACTGAGGAGTTTATCTCGAGGGTGTGTTGTGGCTGTCACGGATTACACTTGTTCCCTGCATAGGCTGTGAAACTCTGCACTGTATTTTCAGTCATAATCCTAAACCTTCCCACATTTTCAGGAGATAATGCAAAATATATTTGAGCAAGTAGAAAAGTGCAGAAGTTTTACATTTGATGCTGAAACCTTACCCTTTGCACCGTCCTCTCGTTTTCATGGAATATTGTGGCATACAAAATAATCTGTCAGCACTGATGGTACTAAATCTCTCGAAATGCACCTTTCCAAAGGCATTGTGTCTGATGGGAGGGGAACGCGAGTGACTTTTGTTGCAATAAAATGTATATGCACATTAAATTGTTTGCAGATGGCTTGCATATTTCTCTCCCAAATGCTGTTGTGAGCTATATCTGCAACGATTTATTTCTGAAGAGCAGTTTTCATCATGAGATGAGGTTTGTACCAATAGCATAGTGACAGGCTATGTGCACAGAAGGGAAGTTTCTGTCTGGTACACAAGAGCGTGCTCCATAGTCAAGCTTTTCTCACTGTAGCAGTTGATAGGGTGAGGCATCTAATTAATTCATATCCTCCAACTGTAAGAAGCAGCAGTTTAGACTGTTCTTGCCCATAATAAGAGCTACCTTATTTAGCTTTAAAGAAGAGCAATATGATTTGTGATACACTATTACTTAGGGAAGCTGAGTGGCATTTTGTCCTGAGGAATCGTTTCAGAGAATTTTAAATAAGGTGTCAAAGAAGCTTAGCCTTTTAAAATGTGCTCGCCTGCCAAGAAATCTCCCAATTTTGACAGAGTATCTTGTCTTCCTGAAGGCAGAATTTGTATCAAATGTTGGCCACAACAAATATAGTAGGAAACAAAAGTAGAAATACACTTTTTAGCTATATACTTTTTCCTATTGGGAGATTGACATAAAACAGAATTACTAAAAGGTTGAGATTTCATCCCCACCTCTCTTTCAGACTTTTTTCTGATCTTTACTACATGAATAATAATTGGTAAGCGTCAGGAAAAAGAATCTTGTGAAGTCTTGCAACATCCTGAGGAGACCTGTACATTTTGAAGTATGTTGCATTTATATTTCAGGAATCTGAAAAAAAAGTGGGGAAAAATATGACATCTGGCAAACTTAGAAAAAACAGCATCAGAGATTACTGAATTCAAGGGTAAAATTAAAAAAAAAAATCCAAACCCCAAAAAACCTTTCTGTCTTACATTCCTACCTATAGGTAAGTGGCCAGCACTAAAAGAATACCCATACTAATGCTGTAGATAACATTTCAGGATGGCATGATCTAGAGTAGTGGTTAAGCAGCAGCACAGGTTGCGCAGAGAGGTTGTATAGTCTCCATTCGTGGATATTTTCGGGGCCTAATGGGTTGAGGCCTGGCACAACCTGATCTGGCTGTGAAGCTGGCTCTGCTTTGATGGCATCCAGAGGATCCCTTCCAGCCTACTTCTTTTCTACGATTCTGTGAATGCGTGATCTGTGCCACATGGCTCCATGGCTAGTCCTATGACAAAATTAGTGTGTTGAACCTCTCTGACTATCTGACCAGCCCACAGATCAGCATCTCTCGGGATGGCAGTCTGCAAGTATTATTTTCTTAAGATCCCAGTTCACGAAAGTATTCAAACACATTCTTAACTTTCAACTCATGCAGCTGCTAAGCTGGTATCCTACATGACAGTGATTTTCATGTCTACGTCTAAGATGTTGAGTAATTGTAGCTATAGACGGATGGCTTTGCCCGAGTCAGCAATGCGTTGGCAAGTTCATAAAAATGAATGAAAACAAAGTTGTAGGCAGTACGTTCAAAACATTCTTTTTTACACTGATGTCACTCTGGCCAAAAAAACAGGAAGTCTGCCACACAGTGTGTTCATGTTCTTAAGAGGACACCTTCATCTTAAAATCTGTAACGCCAGTAAAACCAGCTGCTTCTGTTTTGTGTGTTGTAACAGCTCAGATTAACAAAGCTAAGCCTCAGATCATTTTATGCTACTTGTCTCATTTTTGCACAAATAGATTCAGAAAGTGAAAATAACCTAGTTACCTTCACTTCCATCGGCAGTAAACTGCTGAAACTTTATTGTATGGTGTTCATTGCTGTCACTTCTGAGTAACTGAAGCCTTGTCAATTGAATTCTTTCATATAATATTAACAGATAACACTTACTGTACAGGCAAAAAGCACTACCTGTATACCAGTGCAAAAGGACCTGGATTAATATGAGTGATACAATATTCTTTAGAAAGATGTTGGCTGTTTTGAGGGGTTGTGTTTCTGCTTATAGTAAGTTTGAATGGCTGTATTGTTCTGCCATCACATGAAGAAATAAAGCTGAGAAATAGAGATTTCCCCCCCAGAGCAGAAAAATAAAGCAAAAATGTTCATTAAAAATTAACATGTTATTTAAAATTAAATGTTAACTACAATTAAATGTTAATTTAAAAAATAACATTTTGGCATCACTTTTTTTCCAACAAGAAACTATGTGTGCACCATTGGTAAAGAAATAGCCAAGAAAGTCTTTTTAGAATAATTCATAACATTTCTTACGGGTGGTTTCTGTGCTAAAAACTTGCTGTTTATCACTATGGGGGAAGCAGTATCTAAGGTACAGCAGAGATCAGCTAACGTTTCCTGAATTTAAATGTTGTCTGCTGCTTTCAAACACCAAAATAAAGATTTAAATTTTGAGTAGTCTTCAGAATGCAGCAGTAACGTTAGACCAGATTTCTCTAGGAAAAAGAAGCCTGAGTTTGCTGCATGTTTGAAGCTTAGGAGGCAGAAAAGCAAGAATAGCAGGCTGAATTCTCTGGTTTGATCATGCCTCAAAATGGCTAGGAGCAAGCACTGGAGAATTTCGATGTATTGGACTCAAGTTTGCAGGTTGATAGCCTGTGCGACCCAACTATGTCTCTTCTTTCAGTGGCTGCTTGTGAGAATAAGCTGGAGATAAGAAGAAGTATAGTAGAGCAAAACCCTGGTATTTGTAGAGATGGGCAGGCAGAATGACCGTGCATTTCCACCAATCCTCTCCACTAAGCGGAGAATTGTCAACTTGAGGTTGACGTTCACAGTGGTATCAGGAATGTGTTACTAAGGTGTATTGCCTAAAACCCGCCTCACTGGTTGTCTTCCAAGAGTAAATAATACACAGAAGTCATATATTCAGTTTATTTAGATTTATTTGTACATCTTTAAACTACCCCCACTTTTCATAGAGAATAGATCCCAACAGTTTTGTTTCTTTATCATTTCCCAGTATAGTTTTGAAGAATCCCAATCAGAGTATTCCCCTTCTTCTTGTGAAAGATTATTTCATTATATTGTAGATTTTACTATGATAAAATATTTCCAGATATTTAGTCCAAATCTTATTTTTGCCATTTGCAGTTTTACCTCTCATCTTTCGTAATCCTGATTTTACATCCTCAAATCATAGCTGATTCCTGTCCTGTTTCACCTAACAATACACAAGTTGGTTAGATTTTTTTCAGCTTTCCACTGACAGCCCAGGAAGAGTTTCAGCCTGTGGAAAAAATAATGAAAAGCAGCATTATTGATGAGACCAAATCCATAAGGGGCTGTAATTTTGAAAGACCTACTTAGCATTTAGTGGAAATGCTCGAAGGATGATAAGAGAGTGCTTCTTTTAAGCAAATGGAAGAGAATGGATTTTTGACGAGATCTATTTCTTGGCAGGGATGCTTCTCTGGTTTCCATGGGATGAAGAGGATGAAGAATTTGCCAAGATACCAAGAAAAGAAACGCAAAGAAAAGAAAGACTGAGTAGAAGCCAGATGGGCTTTTTAAAAAGTCAACTGAAGAAAGCTAGAGGCCATAGGAAGGTCATATAGAAAGGCCATAGTTGACATTCGTATAGGCGATATTCCAGGAAGAGGCTATCCTTGCTAGAGCTACAGAGGTAGTAGCATGTTTGTCTGGGTAAGCTATTCTTGAAAACTTCTCTAACATCAGGTCATCCAGAAAAGATACTTCCCTGTAATGGCTGATGTCATTGCTTTTGATTTTCCTTAAATATTAAGCTTGATTTATCTGGTGGAACACAAATCATATGGAAACAACCATTATTATTTTTCTCTTTCATTTACACAAGTGTGTAGGACACCTAAAAATAAGACATGGGCTAACATCAGATCATTTCAATAAGGTGGTAAACCAAACTGGTACATTTCCTGAAAACACTGGCATGTGTTTTTTTCCCAGCTAGCCTCATCTTCAGCTGTATCAAAGAACTCTCTAGCACCAAGTAACAAACATCCCACACTGATCAGGAGATGTATGTTCTTCCTCATCCAAATGCAAACATCTGTTCAAAAACTGGAGAAGTTCCAAGTTTTCTGCCAATAAGCACTAAAAGAAAATTTCTTCCTGCGCCCAAATTAGTGTATTGTATTAACTTGTATTAACGTAGGGAAAAGAAGGCAGCTGCAATATGCAGATCATCTTTTTTCTTCAAACTGATGGGTTCTGTTTATCTCACCACGAGCGGAGTGAAAAATGGAGTAAAGTGTGCATACTAAGTTTACTGAGTGCTTTGTTTTGTAATAACTATTTATCTATTCTCACAGTTCTTCCCATTCAGCTTCCATACTCTAATTCCATGTCTGTAGCCAAAAGTGTTTTGAGAAGTTGGGGTTGTTCAGCCTAGAGAAGAGAAGGCTTCGGGGAGATCTTATTGCAGCCTATCAGTACTTAAAGGGGGCTTATAAAAAAGATGGCGGCAAACTTTTTAGCAGGGCCTGTTGTGACAGGACACAGGGGAATGGCTTTAAACTAAAGGGGGGTAGATTTAGACTAGATAGAAGGAAGAAATTTTTTACGCTGAGGGTGGTGAACATGTTGCCCAGAGAGGTGGTGGATGCCCCATCCCTGGAAACATTCAAGGTCAGGTTGGACGGGGCTCTGAGCAACCTGATCTAGTTGAAGATGTCCCTGCCCACGGCAGGGGGGTTGGACTAGATGACCTTTAGAGGTCCCTTCCAACCTAAACTATCCTATGATTCTATAAGTTGATAGACCCAAGGCAGGAAATGTTAAGGAATTCACTTTTATATGACATCATTGCTTCCATCAGAGCATACTGACATATTGTCGCTTTGTTTTGAGCAGAACCACACTGCTCCTTTTTGAAAGCATCCGCTCTGTTCGGAATGCCCTCTGGAAGTCAGCGGGAGCTGGACAACAGCAACTTCTCACAGGTGCTATGGAGCATGCTGGCTGGTATAGGAACTGCAGCTCCTTAGTGGAGCGGGACACTGCTAACCAGCTGAGGAGCAGCATCTGGCTGCTGTGATGGGTAGAGCCACACGGATCATTCCCTGTCATTTACAACACGGATCTGTCCACTCATGGCTGAAGTAACACGTCCCTGTTTTCCTCTCCAGGAAACAGCTTTCAGACAGTGACCCTTCTTCCTCACCTACTGTTTTAAAGTATAAACGACCGGTGGATTTGCTTTCTGGCTCCAGAGCCATTCAATCACCATGCTCGAGTGATTGAACTTGGGAATTGTGCAGATGTTTAGGGAAGCCAGGTGAGGAATGGTAACGAGTTAATCTTATGCAAATGTGTGGCAACTATCTTTATTGTCTGTCTTGAGCCCTGAAGCTTGATCCTCTTCCATTCAAGTAAATGGAAGAATCCAGGTGACTTTAATGGAAAAGAACTGAGCCCCTTTTGCCCACAATAAACAAAGGATTTTTTATGTGCTCTTACCTGAGCTACATGCCAACATGCATCCTGCATGTCTGTGATTCTGCTACTCAGCACAGGTCATGTGAAAAACACATTCTTCTTCCTCTTGTGGGGAGCAAACATACACAATCGCACCTTTGTAATCAAGATTGTGAAATGAGGGCAGGCAGTGCACCTGCAGGAAGTTTCAGTGGTTGATGGTTTAAAACATTCATAATACTCTCCCGTATGTGGATGTTAATTTTCCTTTCCACCTCAGGAAATAAAGGTGGGAGTCATCCAGCCAAATATGTCAAATGAGAGAGAATCTTAGTATAAATAGGTCTTGCCCTAAAAATGTCTCCATTGATTGTAAGGGGAGCCCAGGTCTGCTGTCACAGATGTCGGTGAAATGAATTCCACTCCGTATGCAGAAATGGGGTAATTACATGCCTATAGCTTCCATTTATGAATTTCAGAGTTCCCCTGAAAACTTGAGAGTTTTGGCATACGTCATTAAAACTCCACACCAAACAGGAGGAAGCCTCGTTTCATTTCCCTCCTAGCGTGGATTTTTTTTTTTTCTCTTTGGAATCTGCTTATCCAAACCTATTACAAACGATTAATCTCTAGTGCAACTGAAAAGTCACTGCAAATAGCACTGGAGAGTAATTTCATATCTTCAGAATAACTCTGTAGCACCAAGTCACCTGCATTATGTGTTTCTTAGGGGTGCTGCTGCTATGCAAATTTTTCAGTGCCACCACTTACTTCAGGTTACCAAAAATGAGTATTATTCTATACTACTAACATATGACTGAAATACACTTTTTTCCAAGAACTGACAGAGTTTACATTTGCTTTATTATTCAGTCGTAATTGTGAGAAAAATTAATTGGTTAAACAAGATTAATAGATCCCTAGCTTCTCAACCATCCTCTTCCCCAAGATAATAAACAGAAATGTGACATTTCTGCTCCAAACTAAGGAAGGATTTGGGGTGGAGGGCTATTGTCAAACTACGGGCAGCGTCTGACTGAATATAGTTTGTCTCTTAGACTGCAGTTAAAATGTAAAACACCAGAGGATTTAGAAAAGCGGGCAAACATTGGTTAGGTCGGCTTTCTTATAGTGACAAAGTGTCTTTTGCCCAATGTGATTCATCTCCGACAGTGGCATTTAAAACACATAGTTTCACAGTCCGCTGGGGCCTAACAATTAACGTTACTTGACCATCAGTGACAACTCAAACTTCCATTGCCTTAGCAACAGGCAGTCGTGCTCAGAAACTGTCGTGTGCCATCTTCAAATTAGCCTACAACGTATTCGAAACTATTGCCAGGTATCAACATAAAACCCGTTTTTCTGAACGCTCGTATGTGAGTGTGTCTGCCGTGCAGACGGAAACCTCTGCTGTCACTTACAAAAGGCCAGCCGTATCTCCGAACAGTCACGTGCAAGTGCTGGTAGCACTCCTCCGCTCGGGCCAGCTCTGCAGTGGCAAGTATCCTAGCTCAGCCACGTGCAGTAACCGTCTTCCTGTAATCACAGGGGGTCGGTGAAATTGCACAGGTTTAAATGCATGCAGGGAAGAGAAGTGGAATTAATCACAGCCTAAAAATGGATACTTCCTGCCAGCAGATTTAAAATGGGGGGAGGTGCAGGGGTAACGAGCATAAATGACAATATTTTCTTAAAAACACATAACCTAGCTAATGGCAATACCTTTCCTGTGGCAGTGGCAACTAACAGAACCATCTAGAAGGCACGCAAGTACAAGTTAATTGTTGTTAAATGGACAAAGAGTGTGGCATATTATCCATTATGCAAAACTGCAAAAATGCACATTTTAGCTGAAAGAAAAGCTTAAAAAAATATTCTACAAAGCAGACATTGCTGTTATTTTCTCTGCAGTTTGCAACTTATAAAGCTAGTGAAAGAGAGAGACAGCATTAAAACTCTCAATATGTGCTTTTTCCCCTCAGTCTCTGGATCACTAGATCATGTCACATCAGCTTATTGCCATCTATAGTCAGGATGAGTTTGATTTTTGACGTGTTCTCTCCTGTTAACAAATTTGAAGACCAACATTGACCATAAACTGCAAGCGAGAGAATTTTGTCCACACGCAGAGAAAACCAGCCCAAATTGCTAAGGTGCTATAGTGCAATCTTTAGGGCCAAAAAAGAAAAACCCACATCAGTCACTGCACAAGCTTCAGCTTGTCTACACAAGTTTGTCTGCCGTCTTCAGGCTGTACTGCAGGTGCTACCTGCACTGCAGAGGGATGACAGCTCACGAAACGTTAGCTTCATAAAGCCTTAGATACATCCTTTTTAGCAGATGAAACTGGGACACTGGGATTTCATTACAGTTTCTCAACCAAAAAACCAGAGAACTTCATAGAGCTGTGCCCTAGTTTAGTTGTTTCTTTTGGGATGGGTTCTTTGATAGCGTTTTAATCCGAAATCTCTTTTTTCCCACATACATATAGCTGATCACGTGAAGAATTATGGGAGAAAAGAGAGAAGGACACTCAAGTAGCTCAAGTGGCTGAGACAGCAACCAAAATGACAGCTCAAGCCGGGTGGTTTGTCAGCCCTTTGTGCACTCTTTCAAAGCTCTTGTGTGAAGCAGTCAGAGCTGTCATAGCTAGTTCCGCACAGAGCTACTGCCCGCCCTGCGCGCTGGTCTCCTCTGCCTAGCACAGAGGTCTAACACGGCTGAAAAGATGTCACCGTGAGGATGTTGCTGGAAGAAGAATGGCAGATGTTGGAAACCAGCGGGATTTGCAAACTGTGCTGTGCCTATATATAGGCCACGTGCCTGTAGCTTGGCCAAAAAGAAAGACGCTGCTAGTTCAGCAGACCTGGGCTCACCGCAGGAGCTTCATAAGTACTAAGAGAGCATGAACCCGAAGGAGGCATTGGCTCTGGGCTGCTTGGGTGCTGTTTGGGTGAGGGGAGCATTAATCACATTAATCTCGGGCCTGAGATGCCTGAACTTGATGTTATTTTGGGGATCTCTGCCAGTGCCCTCCTGTCATGTCCTAGGGCAGCAGAAGGCTTAATTCCATGGAGTCAAGGACGGTGACGTGTTACTTGCTTGGCATACTAGAGGCAAGAACAGCACTGCCTATGAAATTAATGCAGTTTATCAGCGTGGCTAGTACTTACATGCATGATTGCTGCAGGCAGCAGCATCTTGCGTAGTATCAGGGAGCGTAAGCATGAGAATGTGCCTCGAGTGGGCGGGTAACACTGGTGGCACTCACTGGTCAGAGGTGCCGTCCATCTCCGAGGAGGTCCAAGTGAGCTGGGAAACCAGGGGTATGCCCTGCACTCACAGCAGGGTGTGCGTAAGGGGCTGCTGCGCTGGAGAAGCGTGATATTTGTACTGTGTGCCAGATCAGCCTTTGTGCTGTCACTTGGATATGCATCAGACTCCTGCGTTTGATGTTTAACTTCTGCATGGTGCAGACAAATGCAACAAGATACTTCCACCTGGCCTCTTTGCTTCTCCGCGGAGCAGGGAAGGAAGGAAAGCCTTTTCGGGCAGGGACAGGAGCTCTGTCAGGTGAGCGCCTCCCTGACTGAGCCCGTGCGTCAGGAGGCACCCCGAAGCCCAGTGGCTACGAGAAGAAGAGGGCGCGGGGCCGCGCCTCCTGCCAGCCAGAGCCACTGCCGGGGAAGCAGCGTGCCCCCACGCGTGCTTCGCTCTTCCTGCAAACAGCTCTGCTGCGCCGGGGAAGCTACCACGCAGCAGCAGCAGCAAGTTTTCCCCGCCGTGCTCCGCCGCTGGTGGAGTCCGGGCCGGCCCACCGCGGCTCAGGCAC